GACCTACAGATCAATGAAACAAATAGAGAGCCCAGAAGTAAACCCATGTTTATATGGTCAGTTAATCTACGACAAAGGAGGAGGCAAAAATACATAATGGGGAAAGGACAGTGTCTTCAACAAATGGTACTGGGAAAACTGGACAACTACATGCAAAAGAATGACATGGGACCACTTTCTTACACTGTACACAAAAATAAACTCTAAATGGATGAAAGGCCTCAAAATGGATTAAATGTGAGACCTGAATTTATAAAACTTCCAGAAGAAAACATAGGCAGTAATTTCTCTGATATCACGGGCACCTGGGTGGCTCAGTCGTTAAGCGTCTGCCTTCGGCTCAGGTCATGATCCCAGGGTCCTGGGATCGAGCCCCACGTCAGGCTCCCCGCTCAGCGGGAAGCCTGCTTCTCCCTCTCCCACTCCCCCTGCTTGTGTTCTCTCTCTCCTGCCTCTCTCTCTCTCTGTCAAATAAATAAATAAAATCGTTAAAAAAAATTTCTCTGATATCAGCTGTAGAAACATTTTTCTAGATATGTCCCCTAAGGCAAGTGAGACAGAAGCAAAAATAAACTATGGGACTACACCAAAATAAAAAGCTTTGCACAGAAGACAAAGCCTTAAAAAAAGACAACATACTGAATGGGAGAAGATAGTTACAAATGATATATACAATAAGGAGTTAATATTCAAGACATATAAAGAATTTATATGAGTCGATACCAAAAAACAAATATTCCAATTACAAATTGACAGGGAATCTAAATAGACATTTTTCCAAAGAATACATACAGGTCAACAGACACATGAAAAGATGCTAAACCAAATGCAAACCAAAACCACAATGAAATATCACTTTACACATGGCAGAATGGCTAGAATAAAAAAGACATGAAATAGCATGTGTTGGAGAGGATGTCGAGAAAAAGAAACCCTTGTTCACCGTTGGTGGGAATGTAAATTGGTGCAGCCTCTGTGGAAAACAGAGAACTGTGGAAAGCGTGGAAAGCATCTAGAGGGCTATAGCTTCTTATATATTTTTACATATACTAATGAATTCACTAAGAGGATGGGGCATGGGATGCTCCATACTCAGTGCTCTAGAGAAAAATGAAGCAGGGACAGGTCAGATAAAGTGTTAGGGTTTCAGATATGGTGTAGAGTAAAGGCTTCAGAATGGGTGTTTTTAACACTAAAACCAGAAGATACTCAGGCATTGGCTGTTGTGTTCTAAAACAAAAAAGCATTGTCCAAGTATTCCATATGTAAGCAGATTATCATTCATATAACAATCATATATAAAGGAAAATAGACCACAATATTTAAAATTACCCAAAATATGCAGCATATATATTCTAAGTGAATAAAATTCTGGAATGCATATTCCAGCTGAATGAAAGATGAATCAAAATAAAAGACTCAAGAGAGGAGAAGGTGCAGCAGGATGATAAGCACTAAACCCTTTTATAGAGAAAAATAAAGGATACATAATTATAAATGTGTTCAAAGATAAATACCAATAAAAATGTTTATTCAAAAAGCCTGTATGCCAAGAAAATATTGAAGCAAAAGAATATTAGGCTGATCTTGTTCTAAAAAATCAAAACAATAAATTCATAACAACTAAAGCAATATGATATTTAAGGACAAGAAAAGGGGCACCTGGGTGGCTCAGTCGGTTGAGTGTCCAACTCTGATTTCGGCTCAGGTCATGATCTCAGGGTTGTGGGATCAAGCCCCGCGTCAGGCTCCGCACTGGGTGTGGAGCCTGCTTGGGATTCTCTCTCATGCTCTTCCTTTGCCCCTCCTCCCACACACTCTCTCTCTCTCTCAAACAAACAAAAAAGGACAAGAAAAATAGCAGAAGGAAATCGAGTCCAGAAACAAAGACAAGTCCATGTTAGAATGTAGTGTATGATCAAAGTGGTTTTTAAAATTAGTGGACAAAAAGTGCAATATTCAATATATAATCTTAGGGCAATTAGCTGAGCCTTAGAATAAAAAATAAACCAGGTCTTTATTTCTTGCAGTAAATAAATCAAAGGCCCAAATATTTTTTTAAAAAAGCCTGAAATAGTAGATAAAATAAGGGGAAATATTTTTTATATTCTTGAGATAGTGATATCTAAATTTATTTTTTTTTAAAGATTTTTTTATGTATTTGACAGAGAGAGACACAGCAAGAGAGGGAACACAAGCAGGGGGAGTGGGAGAGGGAGAAGCAGGCTTCCCGCAGAGCAGGGAGCCCGATGCGGGGCTCGATCCCAGACCCTGGGATCATGACCTGAGCCAAAGGCAGACGCTTAATGACTGAGCCACCCAGGTGCCCCAAGATAGTGATACCTAACTTTAAATAACATATACGTCCTAGACTCAGTAAAGAAAAATAATGCCATAATCAACTACATAAAAATTACAAGTCTCAGTTGGGTGGAAGATGTAAGGTTAAAAGACAAATTTCAAAGCACTTCTACACCCACATTATGTGGTTATCTGCAACACACAAGAGAACACTTGCAACTCCATAACAAAACTTTAAATAACCTGTGTTATAAGTAGGTAAAGTATAGGTAATTCAAGAGGTATAAAGGGATGTACAGATTTGATGGGATGCTAGAGGACTGTGCATCAGAACTTGGCAGGAACTAAGCACGTTTGGCAAAGGACACACAGCAAGGCCATGTTGCAGGAGCAGGGGACACAGCCTTGTCACCATCTCTGTGTGTCCCCTCCATTTTTACATCCTCACATAAGAATGGTTGTTGAGCAAGTAAGCACCTGGTAAGCTGATCACATGCTTTTCCCCTGGCTCTAATGAGAGGCGGAAAGAGGAGGGATCTGATAGGATGGCTTTCATAGTGGAAGGTAATAGCAATGGGAAAGAGCAAAGGAAGGAATAAATGAAAGAAGGTAAGATACTAATAGTGTTGAAAATCTACTCCTCGTCAGGACTTTTGCTAGGTTCGTCTACATAACTACCATATTTTATCTTCATCTGTATTTTTTCCATGGCATGGTTTGGTGTCTATTATCTTGAGGCATGTGGTCCCTTTGCCTCTGTGTGCAAGGGACCCTGAAGGGTCCATGGGGACGAATAAGTGGATCTAGAAATGCCGAGAGCCAATAAAGCTTTCTCTCAATCTCAGTGAGCAAGAATATGGCCTTGCACTCAGCCACGAGCGCCAACAAATTGCCTACAAAAATAATTCATCTGGAACATGTTGTATCTCAGTGCTCAACAGCTTAGCAGCAGTCCCCACAAGCCATTCCTCAGGTGAGACCAGTGAGGAATCAGAAGAAGCCACTGGACATCAGGCGCCTCTTTTCCCCAGGGCTACCTTATCTAGACTCCTTAAATGATGGGTTCAGAATGAAATTTCAAATTAGAGTAAATATTTTTTTTGAATTCTGAATCCAAGTGGGTTTGGGCTTATGAGGAATCAGTACAGTTAAAGAGAAATAAATCACAGTTTCTTTGTAAAACGGAATGAAGTGTTAATAAATGTTGGCCTCTGTCCAAAAGGAAATTTGCGAAGAAGGAAGGATGTCAGGAAGCAGAGAAAGAGAAACTAACAGGGCTGGTTTAATATTCCACTGATGCTGCTTTGTAATACTTAATAATTTTGAACTCACTCCCACCTCAAGTATAAGCAAATGTATGGAAAATGGGGGAGGGGGCAAAGACCCAGGCATTTGGCCTCCTCCCTCTTCCTGTATTTGCCTTCACTCTGTAATCCCTCAACTGTATCCACATATGCACGGTGCATCCACCTTCTTAACACCATATCCTCACTCTCATTCCTTGGTGCACATTAAAACTTTGAACTCTTGTCTGCCAAATCTGCCTCCTGTAACCAAGGAAGATAAAGACATTTAGGAAGTCATTTTCTCTCCTTGCAAAATTTTGACTTTCAAAGTCTATTGCCTTGCACTGAACGTCAAACCACCAAAAATCCTATTTTAGAGATCAGAGGCTAATGTTACCTTCTTCACTTTTACCTTCTGCTGTAATGATCCCATTAATTCCTAAGGGCTGGCCTTTCAGCATTCCCCATCCCAGGAAAGATGGATGACTCTGGCTCACTGGGGAGAGTCATAATTTTAGAAATGTAGAATGGGATGATTAACTTTTCATACTTCCCCACACCCTCAAATGTTCGAGAATATTCTTCCTTAGTGACCAGGACCAGCTTCATGGGTGTAGAACCTGTACAGTCACGGGGAACCTCACACTTAGAAGGACCCTATGCTTTTTTTTTTTTTTTAAGTGCTGCTATCACCATATTGACATTCCTAATAATATTTTTAACAAGGGGTTCTGCAAATAATGTAGCTGGCCCTGCCTATGAGTCTGGGCCTTTAGAAAGACCATTCCACCAACAAAAACTCAAAGGTGTTTCATAGTCTAGTGTTGCTAAATGTGGTGTGAGCCTACTTTGTCTTACTAACTAGGGGATTTTTAATTCTCTATTTCTACTATCCCATTTGCTCCCTTTCAGGCAGAAGCAAAAACTTTTTGTCAAGGTAAGATTTGTTAACATGAGTACAAATCTCAAGTTTAGGGCAAAGCCTGGGTGGGACCGGGCCCCTCAGGAGCAGCAAATACCAGGAGAGAAAGAATGGACCATGCTCAAGCACTCCCTCTGCTCAAGACCCCATCCCACACCACAGAGAAAGGAGGAAGTAAGAGAGCCCCGGGCATCCACCTGCCCACACAGCCCAACTACCTGAGAGGACAGTGATAGCAGAGGACCACCCCTCCATGGTCCAAGCAACACCATTGTAAAAAGCATGTGAGACTGGGGTCTCAGGACAAACAATGATGTTTGTTATTGATCCCAAATTACACGTGTAGGACATATCTTCCCAGTGACTGCACAATTGATGTCCTGTATAAACTGCATGATCTTGTATTAGCCTAGGTAACAGCGTGTAAGACAAATATATTTCAATACGAAGGACAGACGAATTTTAATGTGCATGAATGTGAACTTACTTACCATCCAGTAAAGTTTCACGACATACTTTCCATAGTTATTGAATAAAGGCATGTGACCTTTCACAGCCTTGCACAGAGAGTAGATGTGTTCCCAGGGCTTCCAGTTGAGAGGAGGAGGTTCCCCTGCATTCCCTTTAAAATAATTGTTCAAAGTAGCTCCATTGAATATCTTCCACACTGCATAGATTTCGCTGATAATCCATCTCATCAGCTAGAGACAAAAGCCATTAGTGTTAATCAGTTGCTCTTCCATTGTTGGTACTGTAATTTAGGCGGGAAACCAGTCGAAAACCTATTTCCAATCTACTTTTTCATATTAAATTCTACACGTAATATGCTCCACATTTTGATTTCTGACCTACAGAATAAAGTCATAGTTCTTGTCTTTGTTGTCAGGAAATATAGTCACAATACAGGCTAAAAAGACTTAACATTAAACACTCAGCTAAGAGCTGTTTCCAGAGTAAACTGTCAGTGGTTTAACATTGACCTCCATTTGACATTGACCTTCATTTCAGCTGTGTGTGTGTGTGTGTGTGTGTGTGTGTGTGTGTGTGTGACACAGAAAGAGAGAGAGAGAGAATGAATGCTTCTGAGAGCTGGGGTGATTTTATTTTGGAATTAACTTTTTATAAATGATTAAGCTACCCCTCTATAAAAGTTGATAAGTTTGAGAAGAAAATGATCTCTTTTGTCACTAGAATCAGCTAGACAAGGAATGCGATATGAGAAAGAATTAAAATTGCACACACGTTTAAATATCCTCTAAGTCTCATATTTCATATGCCAATCTGTAGGTGCAGAAATGCTCTAAGTAAAATTCCCACTTGCAGAGTTTTCAACAGGCTGCAAGGCGCAGTGGGGAGTTAAGCTTCCGAGCCGAAACAGAGACCAGGATTTGAATCTTCCTTCAGATTCTTCTGCTCTGGGGCATGTCATTTCACCATCTCTAAATTGCAGTTTATGTAATGCAGTCTGTAAAATGCAGATTATGCTATCTATTTTCCAGCATTTTATAGGGAATAGAAACAATGTATAAAAAATCTCTGGGTCACAGTGGGTTTTAAGTAAAGACATTACCCTTAGTATTATCGGATTTTCTGAAATAATCATCTCGTATTTAACTGCCTGGTTTATAAGAAGATTAAATACTTGAGACTAACCTTATGAGATTTATGTTTTCCTTAATTTACATTATCTAGGACATTTCTTTAGGTTTAGTTTAGTTGAAAAAGAAAGGTAAATCAAGTATCTTCCTGTATGTATATCTGGGAATTTTGCTATAGAATATTTTATACTTCCTTAAAAAATGAAAAGGTGAAGTCTGTGCATGTTTTGGATCATAAAATAAGCATATTTTAGACTAAAATATAAAGTATAAAACAATTCAGAAATAACATTATACTAATCAGTACATCCTGGTTGAAGAAAGAAATGTTTTGACTTTAATATTGGTCAGAATCAATAATGACTATTAATTCTGACTGGGTCAGATTTTTTTCTGGGAGAAAATAATTTTTAAAAAAATGCCCTGCTTCTGATATAACCGCCTTAGAAGAGTGGAACAGGTCTATTTCTGATGGAGAAAACCCAGGGTAGAAAGGTGGAAGTGTTTAGGTGAGATTTTCCCTGCATTAGCATGTCAAACAACATCAGGACACCCTGCCCTTGAGCACCGTGCAGAGCAAGTTCCAAGCAACTTGATGTCAATTGCTAGGCACGTGCATCAAGAGGAGAAATGCCCAGATCGTGAGATCCCAGCTACTCTGGGTCTAAGGGCAGGAGAATAGGGGCACAGCAATGCTAATGGCTAACATTTTCCCACCATTTGCTCATTAAACTCAACTTAAGAGGCTTCTCTTCCTCTTAGAATGTGTGGCTTATAAAATACTGAGTTATACCAAAATTTAGAGGTGAGCAAGGGAGAACTGAAATTGACGGTCTGGGAACTGTTTTAAGCAGGTCTGGAAGGTATTCTGCAATCAGGCGTCAGTTAAAACTTCCTTACATACCTCACTGCAGAGTAAATGTTCATTTGCTGAAAACAAGTCAAACAGGATTTCATTTTTCACAACTACTGGAGCCTGAAATTAAAAATATATGTAAAAAGAGATATTACTCATTAGGAAAAATAAAGGAAATGTAGCTGAATGAAATATAGTTTCATGTGATATAAACAAGTCAAATCTGATCTCATTTCTCACAACCAGAGGAATTAAAATAAATAAATAAATAAATAAATCTCATTATTCCATAAGATAACCCTGTTAGAGCTATGGGTGACATTCACTTAATAATGTAATGCCTATCAAACACAGCATTTTCATATACAAATGAAATGTTGTAAGATATAATATATGCAGATGATCTCAGCATGCATACACACACAATCTGAGAGTTTAAAAAATGACTTGAAATTTAAATTAACCTTTCAAGTTAAACCTGAAGCTTAGTTAACACATGCTAGCAGGAAAAATATCTTCATCCCTTTGATAAAAAATATTAAGTATGACAGCTTTTTAAAATCTCGCCCAATTTCAAATCCTCTTATCTTTTAAAAAAATCATCTGATGGTCATTATTTAATTGGTATATATCTAGAGATGCTTTTATATATTTAGACCACTAAGGAATAAATATAATAAGGGAAAATATGATTTATAACAGTTTTTAAAAATTTGTTACAATTCATATCAAGCTTATAATATGCTTAACATATCAAATTAACATAAATGTGGTTTTCATTAATAAAATAGATTTTCATGGAAACTAATCCCTTCAGCTATTCTCAATCACATGTATAACTAGCATCTTGAAAACTCAATAAAATATTTCTTTATGTCTGAGAAAAATTAACTCCAAGCTACCCTGAAGGCCTGAATTGACTTAGTTTATAATTTATGATCATAAGTTACATATATGTATTATATAAAATATTTTATACAAAAATGTATATTTTAAATTCTGGTTTGGCTAATTGCACTTCTAAAATGCCCATACTCGGGGCACCTTGGTGGCTCAGTCGTTAAGCATCTGCCTTTGGCTCGGGTCATGATCCCGGGCTCCTGGGATCGAGCCCCGCATCCGGCTCCCTGCTCCGCGGGAAGCCTGCTTCTCCCTCTCCCACTCCCCCTGCTTGTGTTCCCTCTCTGGCTGTGTCTCTCTCTGTCAAATAAATAAAAAATAAAATCTTTAAAAAAAAACAGTGGATGAATTTACTTATAATACAAGTATTATCTCTCAGAACGAAGGTATGTTAAAAAGAAAAAGGTGGTGTAAAACTTTCCTACTTATTCACGTTTGAAACACTCTCACTTCAAGGACTTAATATCCTTTATTTGCATGGAATGTAAACTCTGCACTTCCATTGCACAGAGCCTGAATATTATTACTAATACACTATTATTAAGTGCACTATAGTAACACCAAAGAATTTATATTCTTCATGCCAATATTATCTATTATAAGTAATTTAAAGACATGTTCATATACATTTGATTTATTTAAAATATCTTACAAGTAGGCATTCAATAAATATTTTGTTGAAATATACCTTATTTTTTCATTTTACTAAATATCTTTGAATTTAGGATTATCTTTCTCAGCTAGTAACGGTAATTGGAAATATGGTGGATAAATTGTATTTTCTTGCAATAGTAGCAGTGCTTATAAAGGCTAAAAATTTTAGGAATAAAATCACTTTGTGTGAAACTGAGATTCAATGGATTCTATAATAAACGGAAGAATCAGCTCCTTTACAACCATTTGATTAACACTAAACTATTTTAGCCTACTGGTTTTCCATGCATTAAATGAAAATGATAGGAGATTCATAAAGGAAAAAAAGGAACTGGTGATAATTAGGCCCTTGGAAACAGCAAATATATTCAAACTAACATGGCTGTTAAGAAGACAGACCAGTGGATCTAAAGTTTTCATGTACATAGTGCTATTTAAAAGGATGTTCTCTGGTGATCCCAGTCAATGTGACTCAAGTTGCTGAGCATCGAGTCCAGAAATGAAGATGGCCCTTGGAAAATGCTTCAAGAATACCTGGAATGCAGAGAGCCAAGTGCAAATCTCCTGGGCTAGAAAATTAATGCTAATAAACACTATAGTAAACAGACCTTCGGGCCACATAATAAGTTCCTGCTAAGCAGCAGTAAAGGGAAATTCTGTCAGTCAGAAATTAAAGAATAACTTCCCACATATTTTAGGCTCTCCTTTGATATCATGTAGAAAGGAAGAAAACTCAAGACTCTAAACAAAATTTCAATATTCTCTTGGGAGCCAGTACAAGTGATATTAAACTATGCTGATAAACATTTATTTCGATTAAATGCCAAAAAGTAATTCCTTTTTCTTACTGAAAAATTTATGGGAAAAATTTACCCTACATTGTTTTTTTTGGGTTTTTTTTTTTTTACCCTACATTGTTTTAAAAATGAGAATTTTCATAACTAGGATATTATAACCTACAGCTAACCTGTATTTTGTTTGATAGTGAAAATATTTCTTACCCGATTAATTAAAAAATCCTGTGGACGTTTCCAGGAATAAATTTTCAACGATGGTGGTAATTCAATCTTTCCTTCAGGGTCTTCAAAAAAATGCTATATAAAAAATATATTGAGTTTTTTTCTCCATATGGTTCTAAAATAATGAAAGCAACTCAGTCCTAATAAAAATTAGTAAGTGCATAGATCGATCAATAAATACGCATTTATAGAGCAATTTGTGTAATTGCTCTCAGAGCTAGTTCATGGAGTATTTGGTGAATAGTGAAGTTAATAATACTGTATTTAATGAACAAAACCTCAATTGTTGAGTAACATTTTATTGCAGAAGAAGCAGTCCAAACGAGCATGAGCTGCATTGTAATGTGAGGGAGGTATGGTAGGAAAACAATCTGAATGGGCCAGATATGGACATATTTTCCACTGAAAATAATGTTTTTTTTTACTTGAGCAGAGAAGAGTAAAAAATCATAAATACAATTGTATGCCAATGAAATTTGTACCTTGGATCTGACTTCCATTTATTAATTTTTAAAATTAAACATGTTATTTTGAGATAATTATAGATACACACCTCATGCTGTGAAATAATAAAGAGAGTTCCTGTGTTCTCTTTACTCAGTTTCTCCAGTAGTAAAATCTTCCAAAACCATAGGGCAATTTCACAACCAGAATACTGACATTGACACAGGCAGGATAAAGAATAGTTCCAGCAGCACCAGAATCCTTCCTAGGACCTTTTATGGCCATGCCCACCCTCCAACCTCCTTACCACCTGTTTAATCCCTACCACCTGGCAATCACTAATCTGGTCTCTTTTTGTCATTTCAATAATATTATATGAGGGGCACCTGGATGGTTCACTTGGTTAAGCATCTGACTCTTGGTTTCAGCTCAGGTCATGATCTTGGGGTACTGAGATCCAGCCCTGCTGTGGGCTCTGTGCTCAGTGGGGAGTCTGCTTGAGATTCTCTCTCCCTCTCCCTCTGCCCCTTCCTCTGCTTTCACATGCATGCTCTCTCTCTCAAATAAATAAATAAATAAATAAATAAATAAATAAATCTTCAAAAAAAAATGTTATATGAATGGAATCATATAGCATGTAAATTTGCGGATTGTTTTTTTTTCCCTCTCTGCCTAATTCCCTAGATATTCAATGCATTCAAGCTGTTGCATGTATCAATAGTTTATTCTTGTTTATTGCTGAGTAATATTTCATGATATGGATATTTGTTTGTTTATCATCTGCCCATTGAAGGACATTTGGCATTTGGGCTGTTTCCAATTTAAGGCTATTAGTTATAAAGCTGCTATAAATTTTTGTATATAGCTTACAAGTTTTTATATGAACAGAAGTTTCCATTTCTCTGAGATAAATGCCCAAGAATGCAATTAATTTATTAATTTTTGAGCCCTTAGTATGGGTCAATTAGTGAGCTCTGGAAGAAGAATGATATCCAAATGTCTATTCTCAAATGCTAGCAATATAGTAAGTTAGACATCGAGTAACTACTATGTAAAAGTTCTCACAGCTCCTAAGGTAGTTAGGTTGTGGGGGTGGTCCTTACAGAAAATGAAAAGTGCTGGGAGTATGAAAACAATGCTGTAGGAATATAAACTATCTGTATTGAGAAAAAGGAGTACTAAATTTCACTTGAGTTAATAGTGACAGGGTCAAGTAAATACCATTTTGTGATTTTTATGGTAATCATATTTTTATCTGAATGTTAGTGTGACCTGGGAAATGGGTTATATTTGAGGGTGCTGTCTGAGCTTTACACAAAGTGTCTATGTGTATCTGGAGCATATTTAAGATAATGGAATACTGTGAATGAAGACAAAGGCAATCCCAACATCTAGTCAAAATGATCAAAGAATGAGTCCCTGAACAATAGACTGAAGTTTCCAAGAGCCACCCTAGACTTCTGGGGTTGCCTCATGTCATTTTTTTTTCCTTACAAATATTAATTCAGTTATTTTAAGGTCTCTTCTCTGACAATTCCAAAATCAGAGTCACCTGTGGATCTATTTCTATTATTTAATTTTTCCTCTTGTTTTTCAGCCACTTAGTCCTATTTCTTTTCAGGTGTGGTAAATTTTGATTGTATGATATACATTGCATATAAGAATGTATATGAGTGCTAAGTAATGATGTTTTCCTCCAGAGAGGAGGATTTCATTCCTTTCTGGCGGGCAAAGTACAAAATGAACTTGACCCTGTCAACACTGGGTCTCAGGATTTGGTAGGGTTGGTGTAGGTTTAGGTTTTCCCTACTGAGTACAGCCATGTTGGGGTACAAACTGAAAGGTTGGAGTTTCTGAGTTCTTTCACCTTGGTATACCCTAAATTCCGATCTCTTGCCATAGCATCATGAAATATTTTCTCAGTTATTTAGCTTCCAAGCTGTTGCTTTCCACTCATTTGCTCAGCAGCAAAATCTTCACACATATAGGTGAGGATTTGGGTAAATGTCTTGAAATAAAATTATATGGGAAATTTTCAGATTTTGGTTCTGTAATTACCTCTGGGATTTGGGTTCCAGTTTTGGCTGCTTTCACAGCCCCAGTCAATATCCTCTCTCTCTTCAGCCCAGAGAAACTGGCATAAGCCCCAAGCCACTACTTTCTGCTTGGCCTTTCATTTTCATGCCTTGAATTATTAAAAGTCTTTGAGAAGGTTAAAAAAAAAAAAAAGGTAAATGGGAGCTTATCATATCATAATCTGGTATGATTCCCTTTTCTCCCTGTTAAGTTAATGGTAATCTTTCCATGTCATTTTGCCTTAGGTGTATTTCTTATATCCACCTTACAATGCTTCATTAAATATATCTCAATTTGGTTCACCCATCATGTCTTTTTGTTGCTGTCACTTAGCTGAAGAAATGAGATGTGATTCTGGAATTACAGGGTAGGATTAGCTTATCTGATGCTGATTTCCTGATCACTAGCTTCACATCTGAAGAAGAGACTTTCTATAAAATTCCAAGGCTACTTGCTATAGTTGGATGCTTAAGGTAATTGATCCTGGTAAAATATGGATGTTGCAAATGCTTGGGGTGTCCACCACTCACTCCCATGAGGGACTGTCACTTCCCAAGCCATGAATGCTGAGGTTGTAGAACAGAACTGGGAGTGGGAAGCAAGGTTGTATTCCAGATGGTACCTTTGTGCTGTTGTAAGAACCAGGGTTTGATCTGCTGTTCTCCTGCCTTATGAAGGTGGCAGGGGCAGAATGGAGTATTGGCTAAGGTTCTGAAGTGTCACACTCCATTGGCATAGCTCCGATTCACCACAGGAGGAGGGCTGGTGATGCCCTAATCATGCAGTTTTATACATCTCCATGGTCCAAGGGCTGCAGAATCAATGTTGGGGTCTAGTGTTCAGCTAGCAAAATTCCTATACTTTGCCCCCAAATGAAATGGGCATCAAGGAAACAGCATACATGTTACTGCTCCAGTCTCAATGGTTTTCCCTCCAATAAATGTTTTTCCAACAGATTTGCCCTTGTTTCAGTAACATTGATAAGTTCCAGAATTTGATGCCTAACCTCCCAGAGATCTGTAGGATTTTTTTCATAGTCATCTGATAAAGGCTAACTTGCACTGCAAGGGCCCTATAATGTCACAGTTTATATCTTATTTCCTATTTCAGAGTTTTCAGGCACTTCTGCTCTTCCCCTCCCAGTTTCTCCTTCACACTTTGGAATGACTCGTCTTTAGATCTTTTCTAGAGCTCCATGCTTACCTGAGGATCTGCACAATCTATCTTCTTGATGTAAATTCACACTCAACCCCCATTAGTTGTAAATTTCTGTTAAAAATATGCAGAATATGACCATTGTCATTTGAACACAGAGAGTTCAAAAGCCCTATGCACCTAAAAATTCCACAATCACCCTAGGTATGGTACAAAGAATGTATTCCCTCATATGTTCCTAATCTGAAATTATTCACGTACTAACAGAATCAGCAATTAGTTACATTTATTATCTTTTGTAAACAAATTACTGTAACGAATCATGCAGTTTATAATTCTGCATTTTGTGAACTAAATATAATCGCTAATAGGTACCATTCCAGAGTTCTCTATTCAAATAAAGACCCCAGAGTTCAACATGGTCATTCTGGCAATTTTGTTTGTGTTTTGTAACTGCATTGTGTTCCATAACATTTTTTTTAAAGATTTTATTTATTTGACAGAGGGAGAGAGAGCACAAGCAGGGTGAAGCAGCAGAGGGAGCAGCAGGCTCCCCACCAAGCAGGGAGCCCGATGTGGGCCTCGATCCCAGGACCCTGAGACCATGACCCGAGCCAAAGGCAGACGATCAACCAACTGAGCCACCCAGGCACCCTATAACATTTTTGTTAAATGAATTGTTACACCAAATAAATAGGTCATATTTTTTTTTAATTTTTTTAAAGATTTTATTTATTTATTTGAGAGAGCGAGCGCACGCGCGAGCGTGAGCCCATGCACACCAGCAGGGGAGTGGCAGGCAAAGGGAGAAGCAGGCTCCCCGCTGAGCAAGGAGCCCGATGTGGGTTTATCTGAGGACCCTGGGATCATGACCTGAGCCGAAGGCAGACACTTAACCAACTGAGCTACCCAGATATCCCAAATGGGTCATATTTAAAATGCAACACAGACTCATATCCTTTAGATAAGTCTTTAGAAATAGAGTAAACATTTTTAAATAGGCAAAAGAACCTAAGATAATACAGTTGGAAAATGTAGAACACCATTCTCAGGTCCAATCCCAGGGCACATCATGTTTCAATGGCCATAGATAAACAAAGAGTACCTGAGGTCTTTACCCAAATATCTTGAGGGGGGATATTAAGAGAGATTCAACCCTTACCTCACAGTAACATCTTTTAAAAAAAAAAAATCTCCTATCATCACCAGATAACAGCTCACATGTCCACTGAGGCTTTCATTTTCTAAACCACTCTGTCTAAATGCCTGGTCCCCAACCCTGTCCAAAATCTACTCTCTGACTTGTTCTATCAATTTCCCCTTTATTTCATTATTGACTCTTTGATCCTGTCTCTCCTTCCACTTACTAAAATGTGATTAGCAAAGCTCAGGTCTAAGGCTTGGAAAGACAGGCAGGAGGGAGGGCGACCAGTGGACAAAGACAATTTCTCTTTTGAAGGGAGGCTCTGGGGAAGACTGAACACACTCTCATGTTAACAAATCTTATTCTATTATAAAATTTAAGACTAAGATGAACTCTAGTCACACTCAAGTGGACTTACAAATAAAGGGCTTTTTCCTGTTTTGTCCTTTTCTTTTCCACCTTTGCCTGCGTCCCACTTCTCTGCGTTTATGTCAGCCTCGCTCCATTCTGGCCAGATTGGGAATTTCCCCTTCTTCTGCTCAACAGAACTAGGTTGCGCATTACTGCCAAAGTAGTACTGCCTAGACAGAGCAGGGAGGTGGGTTAATTTTAAGTCAAATCTCTGAGGTAAAATATTAGATTCATTGCATGGTATAAATTTAATGATCTTGTCAGCAGTCACGTTAAAGGCATTTTTCGATAGTCTTACCTGTAGCCAGACAGCTTCCACAGGTTAGGGTTCAAAAAACTAAAATACCGAAAGAGATTATTTCATAAATTTTGAGCCTTAGGCCCTACTTACTAATGCAGGACATTCATCACAAACACATAAAATGCCATGAAGGGGAATATTTATATACAATTCACACTTAAAATCCTTTACACATATAATATTAATGGCTTTTTGAAGATCAGGACAAATATAATTTTGATTTTTCCCAGTATAAGAGTGCTATGTGATCATTATTTTAAAATGAATTTTTTTTTAATTACATAAGTAGGAGAGACATGCCCGCTCCATTAACATTGTTAACGAGTGTCCATTCTGTAAGACTAATGCAAGATACACGTTTCTTCTTCAAAAATAACGTCATTCCGCACATTACAGACTGTTTCTTTCCATTTATCAGTATACTGCAAATAGTTCCTATGTCAATGAGAATTTATCTAAATACAAATTTAATGATTCCATACTGTTCCATTGTATAAATACACTACCTTTTGTTTAATTAAGTTTCTATATTAAAAAATTTCAAGGTTTTGATTTAAAATTTTTTTCACTATTATGTATTTTTTTAAGATTTTATTTATTTATTTGACACAGAGAGAGAGAAAGAGAGAGAGAGCACCAGCAAGGGGAGAGGCAGAGGGAGAGGGAGAAGCAGGCTCCCCACCTGAGCAGTAAGCCCAACACGGGGCTCAATCCCTGGACCCCGGGATCATGACCTGAGCTGAAGGCAGACTATTAACTGACTGAGCCACCCAGGCACCCCTTTTTCACTACTATAAACAAGACTTTGGTAGCTTTCCTTATTGACAAATCTTTGCAATACATTATTAATTCTTTTCTTAGGATAGATTTTAATAAGAGGACTTACAGTACCCAAATATATGCATATTTAAAATGTATGATATATTTTCACTAATTATCTACAGAGAAGTTGGACTTGTTTTCTACACTCATTATTTACATATTGTAGTTTCATACCTCTAAACCTTGACTTTTACCTTTTCTTTATTATTATAAGTTTTAAAGTCTAATTTAATTTTTTTAATTTATTTATTTGAGAGAGAGCGCACGCGCGCGCGTGAGCCCATGCGCACCAGTGTCTTGTTTAATTTTTCAAGTTTTAACTATGAGTGACTGGACCCCTGCTCTAAACACTGGGATAAGAAGTGAACAAACCAGACTAAGATCTCTACCATTATAGAGTTCATATTTTGGGTGGGTGGAGATATAAATCACAGCATAAATTAAGTAAAATATATAGTGCATTAGAAAGTGAAAAATGCTAGGAGGAAATATAAAATAGGAAGGGGGAACTGAAGTGTTAAGATACACAATTTTTAATATAGTGGTTAAGGAAAGCAATCCATAATAGGGTAATAGTTAAGTCAATAGTGAAAGAACATAAAGGATTGAGCTATGTGGATCGGTGGAAAGACTGTTCTGGAAACAGGAAACGGCAAGTACAAACAGAAAGGCAGAGTCTTCCAGATGCAGAGAGCATCCTGCCTTATTTGAAGAATAAAGATATCAGTGAGGCTGAGGGAAAGTAAAAGGAGATAATTTCAGAGAGGTAACAGGAGATGCAGAGATTATAAAGGTGACCTAAGCCAAAGGAAGGACACTGGTTTCCCTAGGTGAGAAGGGAAGCCACAGGAGAGTTTTGAGCAGGAAAGTTTGTAATCATTCATTCTTGCTGCTATGTTGAGAAAAGGCCAAAGGAAACGAGAGAGAATTTAGAAGACGCTGAAATAACAGGTGAGAACTAATGGTGGTTTGGACCAGGTTGCTAACAGTAGAGGTGGCAAGAAAGAGTCCCCTGTTTTTAAGAGAAAGCCAATAGATTGAATTGATGTTTCCTGTAAAACAGAAGACAATGGGATTGGGCAAAACTGAGGTAAGGAGTAAAGCAGCGTTTCACTTCCGAATGCACTGTGTTTTAAATGTTTATCACATGTTTGCGGAGACGTTGAATAGTTCAACATAGGATTCTGAGGCTTTGGGAGAAAGAATTAGTCTAAAAGTGAAAATTTGAGTCATCAGCATTTAGATGATATTTAAAGTCTTAAGACTGGATTAAATCACCAAGAAAATGACCATACCTAAGCAATAGACACTCCCAGGAAGGCTATTCAAGATACCTAACAACTGGTAAGGAAGGAGCATTGACCAATCCTCAAAGACCTCTAGTTATGCGAGACATTATTTACTTTGAGTAGTGGGATCAGGGATATGAAGTCGTCAGGGTAGGTCAGGGGCTCAGGGCAGGAGGCAGGAATGTCTGGGGCTCAAGGTTATTGGTAAGGTTATCGTTGAGGCTACTCAACAATCAACATTAAAATATTTCAATATTCTAACCATCAGTACAGCTGTATATCTGCCCTGATACTCCATGTGAAAAGTCAGAAAGAATAGGAAGAAAACTGAGATGGGTGCCTGGGTGGCTCGGTTGGTTAAGCGACTGCCTTCGGCTCAGGTCATGATCCTGGAGTCCCGGGATCGAGTCCCACATCAGGCTCCCTGCTCAGCAGGGAGTCTGCTTCTCCCTCTGACCCTCTTCCCTCTCGTGCTCTCTGTCTCTCATTCTCTCTCTCTCAAATAAATAAATAAAACCTTAAAAAAAAAAAGGAAGAAAACTGAGAAAAGCAGTTCCCTAATCCCCTCAGAACTGGGGGATATGTTACCTTCCATGGCAAGCGAGGGTTTGTAGACAACTTTAAGTATTTGAGATGGCAGCTTATCCTGGATTATCTGCATGGGTTCAATGTAGTCATAAGTGTTCTCAAAAGTGGAAGAAGGAGACAGAAGTCATCAGAGGGAGATTTGACTCCAGAAGATTGAATAGAAAAATGCAAAACTGCTGGTTCTGAAGACAGAGGGAGGAGGCCACATGCCAAAGAGAGTGAGGAGCTTCTCAAAGCTGAAAAAGGCAAGGAAATGGATTCTCTCCCTGAGCCTCTGGAGAGGAATGCAGCCCTGCTGGTACCTTCGTGTTAGCTCAGCGAGACCCATTTTGGAGTCTGGACCTCGAGAATTGCACAATAACAGTTTTGTACTGTTTAAGCCACTAAGTTTGTGGTATTTTATGATAGCAGTGTTAGGAAACAGTGACAGGAATAAAACAGTAGAGAGGGTTATTACTTGGAAGTCAAGTAAAGCATTTTTTTTTTAAGTAAGAGAATGCACAACAGATCCAAATGCTGCTAATGGATCAACAGATTGAAATAGGAACAAATAAATTTAGCAACAAGAAGGTGAAAGGTCTCTCTCAAATTTCACCTTCTGGGGCTGGGGGTGAGAGGGACTTTCTCGAACGCCCTATCTAGTATGGCTACCGCTCTGCATCCTTTTATATTGCTTCATTTTTATAGCACTTGGCAGTTTTCTCACTAATCCTTCAGTGCTTGTGTGTTTCCACAGGTAGCCTTTTAAGTTTCACAGGGGTCGGATCAGTGGGTTTTTTGTTCCCTCCGTCTATCTCCAGCAATCGAAACAGTGCCAGGATAACATAGGAAATCGGTCTCCTGTCTCTCTGTCATCTATTTACATGAAATGAAAAAATGAATGTCTTTACGTACTATTTCTATCATTTCTAATTAGAACCGCTTCAAGGTTTTGGGGCGCCTGGGTGGCTCAATCGTTCAGCGTCTGCCTTCAGCTCAGGTCATGAATCCAGGGTCCTGGGATGGAGGCCCGCATCAGGCTCCCTGAGCCAGGGGAAGCCTGCTTCTCCCTCTCCCACCCCCCTGCTTGTGTTCCCTCTCTCTGTGTGTCTCTGTCAAATAAATAAATAAAATCTTTAAAAATAAATAAAACCCTCTTGTTTAAAAAAAAAAAAAAAGAACTGTTTCAAAGTTTTATGTATAGGGAGAGATTGATCAGATGGCTCACCAGTTCCTGTTTCTCATTTCCTACATTTCCCAATCCTTTGCAATTTGGCTGGCACTTTGTGGTGGTGTTTTGGACAATAGCATGTATGGGAATGTGTTGTGTCCTACCTCTAAGCTCATAAAACATCCTATGAGATACTTGTCAGCATGCTCAATCCTTCAGAGACGATCTTAGGAAATGCTAATTGATGTGGTTTTGGAATATAGGTGAGATGAGGTGAGGTGAGGTCCAGAGCTGATGACCAAGAAAGAATTCTTGAGATGTCTTTGGTGCAAAATGGTGGTTTATTAAAGCACGGGGACAAGACCCGTGGGCACAAAGAGCTGCCGCAGCAGGGTTGTGAAGGGTGGCTGATTGTATACTATGGGGTTGGGGAAGGGAAGGGGAGGTTTCAAAAGGATTTTCATATGTTAAAGAAGACTCACAGGATCCCTCAGGCCTTGCCATTGTCATGTTAAGGTTGTTTTTCCCTCTAGCAAGGCATTAACATGAAGATAGTTGGGAGCTTCCGGGAGGAACATTATACTCTGCCCACTTCAAGTATCTGTCAATGGGCTGCAGGTTATAAGGACATTTAATTGTATCTGCACTTCCTTCTGGAAGCCAGGTTATTGATAGAAATGCTTTGTTCCTATAGATTGCTAAGACATGTGTAAACTGAGGGAGACTCAGGAGACTCAGCCTTGCAGAATTGTGATCTCTGTTTTTCCTTTCCTTAGCTTCGGGGCAGCCAGGAGTGCCTGAGGAGTGTCACATATATCCCAACTGGGGAAGGGGGGTTGTGGGGTGTCAGCTTCTGCTTTGTCCTCAGCTTGCCTTCTGTCCCCTCATCAGTAATGCCACAAGATGGAAGGAGCCAAAAATCCTTATTTAGCACATGCAAAGCCACTACTAAACTCCCGATCAAACTCTAGTATAAATGAGAAATATCCTTTGTTGTGTGATTTGGGGGTTGTGTGATCT